GACAGATACAAACTCCTGCAAAACTACTGGCATTTCTACATAATGTTGCAATTAACAAAAATATATAATTCAAATAAATTCAATCAAAACACTTTAACTGCTCTAATTTCTTACAAACTTAATAAGACTGCATATATTGTTAACCGGCAATTGACAAATTGCTTTGTGGTCTTGCAGCTCGACCTTTTAAATATTTAAAAAACCCTACTACAATAAACGATAAAAGCTGGTTTATTTTATTTAAAAACTAAGTACGAGCATTCATTATCTAGAGTGACTGCTATTCATACATAGACTTGAGTTATATTAGTGATTTAATACGAGTTTACATTGCATATACTATAACAAAAGTAGCTCTATACAAATCTTCAATTTAATGATGATGATGATGATGATGATGATGATGATGATGATAATAAACCTCACAAAATACAATATATATGTAAAAAATAAATAATGAAGAAATTTTAAATTTTGCATATTTGTATTAATTTTGCGTTAATCAAGTCAGATTAAACACGGAGAGCTCTCTGAAAATAAACTTGTTTATACATTTGAGCAAAAAAAGAGGGTCGTGTGGCTACTATTCAATAAGGACAAGCTTACCGATTTTATATTTGAGAACTGATTTAGCATACTCAGTTACATTATATCCCACTTTTGAATCTGGTGCGCGTTCGTTGCCTAGACACTCTAAATTTGTGTTGACGTGCCAGGTTCATCGTCGACAGGTCGTAATAAGGGGTGGCGCCTGCGGTGGGCCGGGGGGCTCCGCGTTGGGGAGAATACCACAATCCGTTATAATAATAATAATAATAATAATAATAATAATAATAATAATAATAATAATAATAATAATAATAATAATATAATAATGCATTTCTTATATAGCGCAAACATATCAAACGACATCTCAATGCGCGTTACAAAAAATTAAAATATATAATTTAAAAAAAAACCAAAAAAAACATTAACAGTACAAAGCATTCACAATTTAAACAACCATTCCAATTAAAAACACAATTTCACAATTTACAAAGTCATAAAAAAGATTACGGTGCAATTTTCGATTCAAAAAGCAATTTCACAAGTGAATACAATTTTAATCAATTTTTTAAAATTTTAATTTCTATTGTCAAATACCTGTCTCTTATACACATCTAGATGTGTATAAGAGACAGATATTAAATAGGCCTATGCAATTTTTATCAGGAAAAATACAAATCAATAAAACAATAAAAAAAAAAGCATAATTAAACCTATTCACAATATGTCAACTTCAACACTTCATTAAAACAACAATAAAAAGCACCAGTATCACAAAATCGATAGCCAGTGTACATGTAAAATTGGGGGAAAAGATTTAAAATGTGTTTAAGAGTCAGAAATCAACAAGTTTAGTAATAGTTAAAAGCTACCGTATTTTAAACAAGTAAGTTTTAGTTGTGTTTTAAAATGATTGGTAGAATTTGCACTACGAAGATATTGTGGCGAGGAATTCCACAATTTTGGGGCAGCGATGGAAAAGGCCCTTTCACCATATGTCTTTGTACGAGCTGATGATAGTAAGCAGATCCTTTGTGGATGAACGGAGGGACCGGGATGGAATATAAAGGTTAACGAGTTCGGAGATGTAAGATGGAGCCATACCAGCCTTAGCTTTGAATGTGAGGAGTAGTTCCTTGTATTGAATCCTAAAGTGAACCGGTAGCCAGTGCAAATCAATAAGAATCGGTGTTATGTGTTCATATGTTCTAGTACGAGATGTAGTACGAGCTGCGGAGTTCTGGATTCTCTGGAGTTTTGATATGTCTTTATCAGGAAGGTTGATTGGGAGACTGTTGTAACTGTCTAATTTTAAAGTGACGAAAGCATGGATGATTTTCGAAGTATTGGGTTTATCAAGCTACAAATGAATTTTGCTAATTTGTCCGCAAAAACGTCGGATGACGTGTCTTACAATTGTTATTGTTTGTGTTGTTAGTCTCCGGTATTCAACTATAGGGTCGAGAACAAATTTAGAGTCGCCAAGACATTTTGCAGGATCGCTAGACTTGTATTGGTGGCTGGCAATAGAACTTGTCTTCCTTTCTTTGTGCAACATGCACCTGTGTGCGAATGTATCGTTTCCTGAATTGAGCTTTTTCCATAAAAACTAGACATTTTTTTTCTTTTATCACATTCATTCTTATGTTTCCTTCTCATGTAGAACATCCACGTTTATGCCTATGCCAAATATAGTTACCTGTTCGGGCGTCCATAATTTGAAAG